CCCATTAGCAAATGGGAGTTTCTGACATAACCCAACTCTGGCAGATAGACACTACACATTTAAAGCACAGACACTGTAACACAATGCCTTCCAAGCACTGATACCTCCACTGGAGGAGCAGTATTCTTGTTTTCAGGGAAGAAGCCACCTTGCTCAGATTAATACTTACCCTTCTGAAGACACATCATCTTCCATAAAACAAAATGAGCTGCTGAGAGCTTGGATGAAGCAGCTGGGAGAAAGGGTGAGAGACACTGCAGGCTCAYAGTAGAATGGAGGTATTTAAAACCCAAACAAATAGCTGATGYTTGCAGCCACTAAAGAGTGTGAATTATTTACTGAATGCTGCTGGACTAAGCAAGTTTCTTTGCTGGCCAAAGTTCACCCATTTCCCCCACCAAGCAGCAAGAAGTGCAATGCACTGACAAGGCAAGGTGAGAGGTGATGGGGTTGGAATGCCCTCCTCCATGAAACTGCCTGTGCCCAGCTCACAGCCAGAGGCCAGGCTGCTTTTCTCTGGCTGTGGTACAAGGGGTGGRACAGACTGCTCTAACACAGCATAGTAACCCAAAGTTACGAGTAGTTGGGAAGGGTGTCTGTGCAGCAAAGCCTTCCAAGCACCATGAAAGTTTTATTCTTCAGACTATACTGTAATGATATCCTAACCATGGAAAGCCGAATTTCCCATCRTGTTATGATTTCATCACAATAATTTCTCTCAGATCCCCAACTCTTGCTATGTGCCAAACAATCATGGGCCTTTTCTGSTGTGTTTTATCATCTCCAAGCTTCTCCTAGCCATTTACAGCTAACATTTGTACACCACTCCCCACAAACACCACCCAGGAAGGGAGTAGTCACAATATTTTATGCTCACTTGAGCACAACTAGCCCGTTTTCACACTCAAAAACAGATGGGACAAAGCATTGCAAGTTGCAGGCACAAATCTGCATCACACTCTGGTCACCAACATGGAAATTCACCTTATCAGTGACTGCCAGCATTCAGCAAACCATGCGGGGCAGATTGTCCCTCTATAAAACATCATGTTAAGACCACTTTTAAAGAAGAATGGCTATAATTGCTAAATATTTTCCATCAAAATAAAGATTGTTGAAAGGATACTCAAATATTACCCTTCCTCCATTTGTGGRACATAAATGGACAGTGTTAATGATTCAAGTCCATAACCACCAAACTAAGTAGGAGTTAACACATTCTGGGATACAAGCAGGTACAGTGACATGTTTTTTGTTTTTTTTTCCTATGGGCTTCTTTAAAATGAAAATGGAGTATTCATAATTCATCTCCCTTCYACCAGCTACCGAAGCACTTTAATTTAAAGAAAAAAAAGCATTCACTTGAATGTTAAGCGCATGCCTGAATCAAATATGGAACTAAAAGACATTTAATGATATTTGCACAAACATTTTCCAGCAATGACTCTGATTTTAATTATCTAGTGGATAAACCCTGCCTGTGCACAAATTAAATGCTGTTCTGCAGCCAGTCTGTGGTTTATGTCTCCTAGATGAAACTTGCTTTGCAGCTTTTGCACTAATATTTTTCATTTTGCACCCTAGTTTTACAGCCCCTCCATTTTTTCCCGTTTTTTATTTCTAAAAGGTTTTTGTTTCTCTCTATACAATTGAACACAGTGCACTCAAAATCTGATACGGGATATAAAAATGTGAAAATAAAATCTGGGAAAGTTACAAGCAATTTTTMTAGCAAAAAATACATGTTTGAGAAGACATAAATAAAGATTTAAATAAGCCTCACACAAACAGGCACATGCCTACCCATTCCTCCAAATTGTCAGAGCTCTTGCATAAGATTTCTTTTATAGTCATCTTAGTCCCTGAAGTTACACACGTCTTAAAGTTAGAAAAGATAGACTTGTTAATAACACACAAATGTTCATAGACATAACATCTTTACAAATATCCTCTGTGAGCAGATCAAGCCACTCTCCATATGTATCTAAATGTAGTGGAAGGCTCGAGTTTTTAAGTTGTCAGATCTGTGCCTGGGTAAGAGGGGCTCTATTTTCACTCTTGGAGCAGCGAGAGATTAGCAGCTTGAAATCACTTTGACAGTTTCAGTTACTCTCCTGCATACTGCAGGGAATTTTAATTCCAACCTGTGAAATTGTAATTGCTTCTCAAGAAGAGCAGGAGGATTCTGGGTAATGGCCACAGCCAAGCTCAGTGTCAGAGTTGCCAGTTGCTGCCACTTCAGATATTACTTGCTGTTATTCAAAAATCACACCAGCTTTCCATAGGGGAAGCTGAACTGGGGAACGAAACTAGATTAACACTAGTTGTCAGATGTTCAGAGATGTGCAAGCAATGATGTAACAGAGGTGAGTCTCCTCAAAAAGCACCGTTTCCTCCCACTCTTGCTTTATAGAACAAGCATTACATAAAMCACTTCTATTTCATACTCTTTTTCACAAACAAGTACACCATAGAAGGGTACAATGAAAAGATTAAATCACAAAGTCCTCCAGCATACAGTGCACATGTASAAAATAAAATGTTTGTACATTAATATTGTTCTCAAGAGATTTAAGATGTCTTTGTTGCTCAGGGTGGTTTTGTGGCATGCAAACACTGAAAACACCCAAAGAGAACTCAGAGCTACCACAAACATTTAAGAAAAATAGCTGAGGTTTTCTTGGTATCAAATGGAAATTATATTATTGTTTTGCTCTAATTGCTCTGAGTGTAGATTGCTTATTAGCAGACACGTTCTCTAGTGATGAGTGTTCAGCACGTGCAAAAGTGGGATCAATTGACTGTGAGGTAACTGCTCCTGCAACAACCTTGTTAAGTTGGAGTGCAGCAGATTTMTCACCCATCCTGATGGCTTGTAAAAAGGGAATACTTGGTGGAAGTAGGTCTCAAACATAATGTTGACATAAAAATTAAAAATGCTGCCTGGCAGGGCAGTTAGAAGCATTCAGAGATCCAAATGGAATCAAAAATCACCGATGAGATGTTCCGCAAGGCAGATGTACAGTTCACTCCACACTCACTGAGGTTTCCCAAGCTACACCAGTAGCCTCAGACAGACCAGGCTTGGTCCAGGTGAGCTGTTTTACCAAAACAGATTTGTTCAGCTGGGTGGCTTTGTAAGCTTTAGTTGTACATAAACAGAAAACAATGACATACACAATATTGCTCTACAACACGAAGTGTCAAAAACCGCTTTCAAAATCTAAAGGAAGGCAACAAAACATGTGACAAAAAACAGTTCCTACTTTATCAGATTAAAGCTCAGTTTAAAAATATACTGCGGGCAATGTCATTTACAAACTCTTCTTTGGCCTCTTTCAATGTATTACACTATTTCTAAGAAAAAAAGCTGGTCCCATTAAAGCCAATGATGCACAGAATCTAAATCACAAGCTTCGTAAATCTCTGTAATAGCTGATGCAATGAGTCTGTAATTGCCACGATTAGATAAGCTAGAGTGGCTGACAGAGATGATGCTAGAGGCACAGAACATATCTGCATAGATTATTCCTATCACATGTGAAAATTTGGCTTGGATATAATGATTTTGCCAATCCACAGTTTTCCTGAGAATCTTGCAATCTGTGGTATTTTCCTGAAAACTTCAACTCCCAGAGTCAAGTTGGTGGTTTTTTTTTTTTTTGAGAATTTCTCAGATTTGTTAAAAAAGGAAATTACTGATTATTAAATATTCCTTGTTGTACAGAAAGCCTGAGAAAAAAAGCACCCCAACAAACAGAAGCAAACCAAGAGCATTGTTGGCTTTTTTGGTTTGGGGTTGTTCTTTTTTTTTTTGGTTTTTTTTTTTTTTTGGTTTTTTTTTTTTTTTTTTTTTTTTTTTTTTTTTTTTTTTGTTTTTTTTCATTCATTAATTTTGAGTCTTGGCTCATGACCTTCAGCAGCTGCTATAAGAAATATAATATTCAAGTCATAACACACCTGATTTCCTGAAGACAGTTACATGTGTTGTCATAATTTACAGGCAGTGCTGAAAGCACCATGGTGGAACTTCCTGATTAATTGTGTATAACTGTTATGAATCCCCAGTTTATAAAGTACAAAGCACTCCTGCTAGGGGATTATTCCCCTGCGCTGTAGAGACAGCGTACTGRTTTTGGCTGGGATTGAGTTAATTTTCCTCACTGCAACTGCTATGGGGCTATGCTGGATTTGCTGCTGCTGAGCAGGGCTTGCCTGTCAAAGTAATGAATGCATTATTTCCTTGGTTTGCATTGCTTKSCYGTGCAGCTTTTGCTTTACCTATTGAAGTGTCTTTACCTGAACCTGTAAGTTTTATCACTTCTACTCTTCTGATACTTGCCCCCACCCCACTGCTGGGGAGWGAGTGGCTCTGTCTTAGCCACCTACTGGGGTTAAACCACAACAGCCTGATATAAGACAGCTCAGCTCCACCAAAGTATGACACAAACATTAAAAAAAAACCTCAACAGCTCCTGCTCTTATGATTTTAAACAGTCTTTGCAAGTGGGAGTTTGGATGAAGATTCAAAAATGTGATAAGGCGTGAACAATCCAACAGTATCATGCAGTCGGGTGCCAGAAGAAACTGGCACAGTCCAGTCCCTGGCTGACCAGCACATTCTCAGGAGGTGTGGAGATCCTGTCATGACAAAAATGGCTTSAAGAAAGTAATCAGAAATTTTCATTGTGCAAAATGCAAAAGCAACCTCCCCATTAACAGAGTAATAATTGTCTTATTGAGCCAACACATAGCTAATAGAGATTCACATGTAGTTCTCTAAGCATTGTATWAAACCTACAGACTGTATTAAATCCATCTTTTAACAAAACTCTATCACCAAAACTACATATTCCCATTCAGTTTTTAAAACCCAACAGCTTTGTAACTATTTCTATGTAAAAGWTAATTCTTGTTGTATTAACAAAGCCTAGTAACTCATTGTGGAGTTCAGAGAAGCAAGATGGCAGGCAAAAAATCTTTCAGACAAGACAGCAAAATAAATAGCAACAAATGACAAACTTTAATGGCCTTGCAGTGTTCATTCCAATGTAAAAAGACAGATATCAAACCATCACACTGCATCAAACAAAATCTTTAGGAAACCTTTAAATATTCTACCCATATAAAAGATTACCAGTATCACTCAATGGAAAGATTTCTTATAAACYTAATGCAATTTTACCTGATACAGCAATTATGAAGAACATGGAATGCAAACATTGCATCATTTTAGGAAAAAAGAAAAGGAAAGATGCAACAAACTGTTCTGCCAACCAAGGATCTCAGGTTTTGGCAAGAGAGGCCTCCTCACGGCTTATTAACATTCTCTCCTTTGAATGACAKGAAAGGCATAGAGTGAGTACAAATTATTGCCCAATTTATATTAGCTTTTTTCTTTCCTTTAAAAAAAAAGAAAAAAAGAAAAAAGATTTGTTGGTAGAAGTGTTCCTTTTGAAGATTTTAAACAGCCATTTCATTGTTTTCATAAAAGCCCCATTCAGTTCACAGTTCTGTTTTCATTCCTCCGTAGTAAAACATAACAAGAACTGCCAGTAGAGCCAGGCTGACAGACAGGATCTTCAGTCCACCTCCTTCCTGTTGCCATGGGAACTGCAAAGCCATCCACGAGCCCAGCCGTGTTTTCACTGGGATCTCAGCAGAAGGCTGTGCTTTCCAGTTTGTGCCATTCTGTGRTGCACGTCTGAACTCCTGTGAAGAAATGCACACATTAAGATTGAAACTGTGTTATGTGTTYCTGACTGTACATACCAAATACAATCTCCTCTTTATACTGGGGTTCAAATTAATGTCCTTTTCAACACCAACAATTCAGCCTGCACTGCATCATCATCATCAGCTTTTTATACATGAATCTTATAAATGCCATACAAAATCAGTRTTTCTAATGAAATTAACTGCAAAATCAATGCAGCTGTGAGCAACAGAAACAAATCTCCAGACCTCACTGTCATAAGAGAGAGTTGTTTGATGGTTATTTTTTAATTTGTTTTGCTGTTATCTCACTACTTTCTGATCTGTGGCTTCTCCAACAGAAATGCTGAACCAGTGATAAAGGGGACCACAACACTCAATCCCTTGCACAGCAGGGATCTTCTAAAGTCAATCAGCGACTCCTGGTCTGCCAGCTCAGTGGTGCTTGAAAATCCTCCCACAGGGCTTTTCCTTTCCCCTGACCCTCAGGAGGCAGCTGTGCTAAAACACTCACCTTCTCATTCAGCATATTGAATCCCAGTTCCCTGCTGTGCCTGCCATTACCGTTCCCAACCTGACTGCAAGCACCAAGATCCTCAAGAATATGAGRTTTTTTAACTGCTGCACAAGTTACAGATATTGCGTCACCATTTCAGCAGAAAATCKAAGTGAAAAGAATAAAAAGCTCTTTTCTCTTGAACCCTTGTTCATTTCAGCATTGTAGATACTCAAAAGAAAGAGCATCCAGTGAAACTGTAATCTGATGACATTTGCAAGARATGTGAGTGGTAAAGGTGTTATTAAACAAAGGTGTAATGATGCTGCATCATGAGATTCAATATTTCTGTTGATCATTTCTGTTTCCCTCAATCTATTTCAATAATGTCTTGGGAATTCAAYTGAGATCAGTTGGATTTTTAATTGGCTTGATATTTTCCAGTTAAAAAATATTTTTAATTAAACCATTTCTTTTTTYCCCCTTCACATTTTGTATAAAACCAATCAGGGACCTAGGAAGTACCTATCTGAATAACCTTYTATTTCCAAGAAGCTGAAATAGGACCACATGAAAATACAGACCAGATGCCCGCTCCGTCTTTTACCATATTTCTGGGCAAACTCAAAGAAATATCAAAGCTCCAAGAAAGGTGCCTGCCCATGAAAGTGTGACAGCACAATTCAAACCTTCTGTAACTGCCTCCTGTTTTCCATTTCAGCAATCAGCTCCATTATAGTAATTGTAGAAGGAAAATAATGATGACTMCCGGCATCAAGGTAAGTAAGCATCAAAGGGGCAAATGACAGCCTGGAGTAAGTGCTATTCTAACATATGAGTTATTGCTGATTTAGTCCCCAATTCGCACAGGCAGAGGGTTCTGACCAAGTGAACTATGAAATGAGGATGACTTCTCACACATAGAGGACTATCAGCTGGGCAAACAGAAGAAAGGAATGGTAAGCACATTGGGGTGTAGCTGTCCGCAGTGTGAGGCACAGTAACAACTCTACTCCGGGACTTCAGCCTATATTGTGCAGTACATGTTAATTTAATCAAAACCTATTGTTATTAATTGCAATCAATTTCTAAGGCATCTGAAATTTTACTACTTGGCCACAGCTATTTTATCTTCTCAAATCAAAGCTGATTAAACTTTGCCTGCAAATTGAACTGGAAAATGTACATTATTAAGGTCTTTTTTACAAAAGAATCAAAATTCTTTTGCAATTTCTTCTTTATAGRCATTTATAAAGCCTTTCTTTCCTTTGTATGGTCTCACAAATCTCTACTCATCTGAAGTGCTTAATTTATGATAATGATTTGTTTTTACGTGTCTTGTTGGTACATTATCACTAAGGCTAAAGTGATTTAAAGGAATGAATAGGGCTGTAAAAATATCAGTATAAATAAAGTCTTATTTCTTCTGATATTTATTTTTCACTGATTCATGACTTAAAATTTTACTAACTACAATCAGACTATTGATTCCTAATTAAATATTTCTACACTGCATGGTAAAAGTCACAGATATGTAGTAGTACAAGACTAGATGCTATCCCCTGGCAAACAGATAAAAAGGGCCAGTATTTCATAAATAACGTTGTAACTTTCTCCTCAATGCTCCTCTTCATGCTCAGCTTCAGTTCCTATCTACATGTCTCAGCAAGACTAGGGACAGTGAGCAAAACCCCCAAATACAAGTTACAACTTGTAAAATATTTTCAGAGACTTTAAAAAAAAAATTCCCCTTCACTAACAGTTGAGCACATCAGTGTTTCATGTATTCAATAATGTTTCTGTGCTGCAATTTTCAGTAGTGATTTCACTGGCAWTTGGTTTATGTTAAACAGTTTTTCTGTTTTTCAACAAAAACCAAATAGTCTCATCTCACTGGTATAATTTTGATCAGACATAGCCTATACTGCYTTTTTGTGTTACCTTACTGTTTTCTTACACCTCTATTGCAACATGCACTGCATATGCATTAGGTAGTGCTGCATAGTGCTAGTAGGACAGAATGGCAYAGGAGATTTTAGCGTGGTTTACAAGATTCCAGTGGTAGCTGAATGCTACCAATGAGCTGTCCCAGTAGCTGTTCATCTAAGTCAGCCTGTAAAGCTGTGAGATCCATTTTTTCCTTACTTTATCAAATTTCCAATAAATAAGATGATCATACAGATACACTAAACTCATTTTTTATTTTCTTTCTGTAGAAGGACAAAAAGATCACTATTTGCAAACAGAAGTGACCATTTTCTTGCAGATGTACTTCACAGCTTACCACTTGAAATACTACTGCATTTCTTTTTGATAATATACATCTCTTCAGGTGATCCTGCCAAATATTTCCTTTCAAGGAAAGTAAAGAGTATGTTCATCTGATCCCTGTTTTCTAAGTAMTATYCTYTAGTTTGGCCCAAAATTCTCCCTGWCACATGGGTAATRCCAYAGGCTTCCACRAAAATTTCCCTCATTATCATCWCAGAATATGCATTTGTAAAAAAAAAAAAGGTACATCTGGCTCCCTGTGACTGAAAGGCTCCTGCAGAAAATGACAGTCTTTTTGTCCCCATCCCGAGATTCATACAGAGCTTTTAAACCCAGGATAATCRCTCAGAGACACCTGCCAGTGGATGCCTCTTCCTCAGAGTCTGTCGTGCAGCTCAGTGAGACGTGGCACAAATCCCCCAGTGGGAAGGGGAGCTCTGCTGAGGGGACCATGTCACTGCCACCTCTCCCTCCTGAGTAAGGGCTGAGTGGCCCTCACCACAGTCTAGACAGCAGGGAAGGGCCTGCCAAGACTATACGCAGTTCTTCCAGACACACAAGTATCATATAAACAGCTGCATTAGTGAAAAACACTGTATATGTATTTKTATGCACATTTGGTGTAAAAAACCTTGGTGGGGATAAAGATGTCATTTTTTGAACTAGCATTTACAGTGGCCCACTTGCCATGCTCTCATTTGAAAAAAAGCATTAATTCTGAAAAGCCCTCATTTGTATCTCTGTCTCTAGGTAAAATATCCACAGTGTATTAGCTTTCTAAGGAAATCTTTAAGTGACTTCTATAATATGCTGAACTGATAGAACTGTGATAYTTACCACACACAATCACTAGTTTGAGTGCAACAGTTCCTTAAGCTGAGCTCAGAAATCACACTTTCGTAGTTACAAGAGTTAGAAAGATTATCATAATGATTAATTTAAGTGGAATTTAGAACTAAATTCAAAGCCTCTTTTAACCAAAAAATGCTTGGAGGAAGMCCTAAGGTAAAGAAGTTCCAAAAATATGTGTTTATACAAGTTTCAGTCTCAATAGGCCACTAACTCTTTGGTAGACTTGTTAAGCATTGCTCTCACTAAACAGGACCAAAATGAAGGAATAGGTACTCTAAGATTTAAAACTACATACTATTAATTAAAATGAGGGGAGGAAGGGAAATTACCAAACTGAAATGCAAAGACAGACACTTTGAGCTAAGCATCTTGTATTTCCATGGAGGCAGCCTTTCATCTTGTTTTGGCAGTCACAAAGTAAACACAAGACTAATAAGGTATATATAAATTATTAAAACTTCRAGTGTATGATCAAATGCATTTCAGATTATTTTTTGAATAATTCTGCCTTGACGACTGCCAGGARTAATATATTTTGTGTACTCTTGCACAGACCCATTGGTTGCTGTCTTTCTGAAACTCTAGTCCCAGATTAAACCAGCAYGCATGAAAGAAATATATAATCACATCAAAACCTAAGATTTGGCATCTGTCGATCACAGCCTAGCTTTTTGTAAGATCTCACTTCATGTTAGTCAACAAAGACATAAGAGAAACTCTTTAGCTCTGAGCTGAGGTTTTAATAGATTCAAAACATTTCTTACATGCAAATTTCTTTTATGGCTCAGGGGCACTGTTAGAGCTTGAAGTGTTAGCTAACTGCTGTGAAAAAGTACTTGACTGAGCATATCTCAAGATAAATTAGACTTCTGAATTTTTTAGCCCAACCAAGTACATCACACACTTGTACTACTGGTTTTAAAAATATGGACTTTTATATAATCATGCACGACAAGTCTGTGTGACAAATTTAAAGAAAACATGTTAAAATATGCATTACATATCCTGCTGCACTATTTGAAACTCTGGGCTATTACACTTTAAAGGCATTTTTCAGATTTAAAAAAACAAACAGTTACGGATGGTCACATAGATTACACATCCAAAAAATTATGTAAATTGAATTTTATTGAATAGTTCCRGAAGACACATTTAGCTCTGTAGGTATTAAGAGAGCTCCTTTGATTGATTACTTTAAAAATTCTACCAGCCTTCTGCAAATGTGGAATGCTGATCTTAAATTACAAAATAAATGGCACAGAAAATAGTTTTTCCTAATGGAATTAACATGGTAATTCCTGTAAGAAGCATTCCCGCCACCATGAATTCCAAAGACTGCCCAGTACTATGCTGTTAGGAGAAAATGCCGTCTACAAGT